GGTGAATTCCCGTCGTGTTTTTCCTTTTTTGTAGTAGTGGATGGTCAGCCTTCTTCTCTTCAAAATCAGGATTTGCAGCCATGAGAGGTGGGTTGAGGAAGGATTTGCAGCCAAGTCATGTAACTCGAGTAGTTTATAAGCCATGTTTGAACATGGTGCACATAGGTCTCTCTTGAGCTCCCTATTGTCCTCCCATATATGGAATAGTTAGGATTAACCAACTAGTAGGTTCATAATATTTTTTATCATCTTGAGCTCCATAACTAGTTCCACTATAATCAGACATGACATAACCATAGCCACCATAAAGATTCATTTGAGTTTGTACTAGGTCTAGTTCCTATGCTCATAGATCCAAAACTGATCGTCATGTCCTCTTCAGATTGATTGGAGGTATGTGGGCAGTGGACTGTGCGTAGATTTTTCATATTAATAAATTCTAGGGTTCAAGGCAAGGATTAGTTATTTTTGGGTTTCAATTTGCTTCAATTGCCTTCAAACTTCTAAATTTTTTTTGGGTTCTATTATGGGTATCGGGAAATATCGGGGATATTGGCAAAATATTCGGGATATCGCACTTATCGGGTATATGTCGTCGATACAGGAGAAGATATGGCCTTACCCCCCTGTATCGGTGTCGATAGTTGAAAATACCAATATATCGGCAGATATATCAGTGTATCTGCAGATATTTCAATCCTTGGGACCATTTTGATACTAAATGGAGAATTGAAGGACTATTGAAATGAAAATTTTAGTTTGTGAACCAAAATAAAACTTGGCAATAGTTGGGGGACCATTTCGGTCAATAACTCAATAATTTACCCTTTGTCAATAAGGGAGGGGGAATTCAAACTTGGGACTTCTTCTAACATTGGAAAGAGAAGTACCACCAAACCAATAGCTAGTTGGTTGTACACATTTAAAATCACAAAAATCACAACTCAATCTACCCAATTGTAATGGGAGGGAAAAAAATACCTTCTTGTTCAAGTTTAACAATCCAATATTTACTATTAAACATTTTAACTAATTTTTCCATTGGTTATCCAATTGCACCTTTCGCTGGGTGTTTTAATGAATTAATTCAAATATCATATATGGAAATTATTAAAAGATAAAATTTACAACTTCATCATTTAAAATTTCATTATTTGGATATCAATAAATTATTGAAAATAATTAGAAATAAAAATTAAGTGATTGTTGGTAATACCAAATTTTTATTACGGAAATATTTATTAGAATTAAAGATTAATAATAGACATTTTGAATTGTTGAAACATAAGACAAAGTGAATCCTATAAAGGTGTCCCTCAAACAAGTTATTTGAGATATTCCTCAATTGAAGTTCCAACTGAAACAACCATAGAAAATGGCGCGTGTGCAAGATACGCACATAGAGAACAAAGTGGCTGCAGGATAAGCACAATAGCACTTTCATTCAATGGCTACGCTTCAAGGTATATGTTATTGAATAACATATTGGACTTTTAATTTTCTTCTTTCTATGTTAGATTGAAT